GAAAACAGTTACATTAAGGAAACAGTTACATAAGGCTATCAGTGGATTTTTCAGCAGAACTTTGCAGGCCAGAAGGGAGTGCTCTTTTCTATCTCAAATAAGTAAAACCTTTTCTAAAAAATTAACTAAAGAAAATGAAAATGAAAACCACAATGAGGTATCACTTCACACCTATTAGGATAGTTTTAATTTAAAAAAAAGAAAAACATGAAAAATAACAAGTGTTGATGAGAATATGGAGAAACAGAGACCCTCGTCCATTGCTGGTGAGAATGTAAAGTGGTGCATCCACTGTGGAAAACCAGTTTGGTGTTTCCTAAAAATAGGTAACAGATAATTGCCATTTGACCCAGCTACTCAATTCCTAGATATATATACAGGAGAAATGAAAACTTATGTACACACAGAAACTGGTACATGAATGTTTACAACATCATTATTCATAATAGCTAAAAAAAGAAACAAAGTACATGCTACAACTTGGATGAACCTTGAAAACATTATGCTAAATGAAAGAAGTCAGACATGAAGGTCACATATTACATGATTCCCTTCATATGAAATATCCAGAATAGGCAAATCCAAAGAGACAGAAAGTAAAGGGTATCAGGTGATAGTGGAAGGAGGAAATAGGAAATAGGAAATAATTACATAGCTGTAAGGGTGTCAAAACAGTTTTGAAACAAGGGAGCTGGTGGTTCCATAATATTATGAATATACTAAATAACAAGGAGCTGTACATTTAAAATGATTAATTGTCTGCTACATGAATTTCACCTCAATTAAACAAAAGATGGCAGTATTAAAATGTTCCCATGTTCTGACAACATCCAATTTGCAGCAAACTTCTACTTCCTTAGATTGTCTCTAAAATTACTCAACCAAAGTCTAAATCCTGTAATAGGTTTTTTCTAATACCCTCTTAAAAAAACACACCTAAAGGTTCCCTATAAATACATGCTGAATCCCTCACTGCAACAAGTATAAAAAAACTATTAAGTGTTCTCGCTGGTCTTTTCGGCTGGAAGGCATGGATAAGACTAACAACTAACCTCTCAACAGAAATAACAGAAGCTAGGGGCACTTGAGTGGCTCAGTCCATTAAGCGTCTGTGTCAGCTTAGGTCGTGATCCCGGGGTCCAGGATCAAGCCCCAAAACCGGCTCCCTGCTCAGCAGGGACTCTACTTCTCCCTCTCCCCACTGCACATGCTCTTGGTCTCCCTCTCAAATAAATAAAACCTTTAAAAAAAAAAAAAGAAGAAGAAGAAATAACAGAAGCCAGAACATAAAGGGATAATATAGTTAGAAGAAAACAACTGCCTGCCCAGAATTCTAACCAGTAAAAACTATCATTCAAAAATGAAGGTGAAATACAGAACATGATGAGACAACAAATATGGACAATTTCTCAGCACAGGTACTCTTCAAAAAAAGGAAGTGATCACAGATGGAGAACTGAAGATGCAGGAAAAGAATAAAAAGTGGTAAAAATCGTATCTATATGGGGCGCCTGGGTGGCTCACTCAAGTAAGCGTCCAACTCTTGATTTTGGCTCGGGTCATGATCTCAGGGTCCTGGGATCAAGGTCCATGTTGGGCTCCCCGCTCAGTGGGGAGTCTGCTTGTGGGGAGTCTGCTTGTCTCCCTCTCCCTCTGCCCCTCCCCACACTCAGACTCTCTCTCTAAAATAGATTTTAAAAAGGTAACTATGTGGGTATATCTAAAATAATCAGATAAAACAGTGATGATGTCTTCTGGGGCTCAAAATCCACATGGAGTTAAAAATACATGAGTATTACAGAAAATAAATGGGGTAAAGGGGAGAGAATTAATGGAATTGAAGTGTTTTAATCGTCTGGAAAATATAAAATAACTTAATTAGACTCTTCTAGGTCAAAGATGCATGTTGTAATCTCTAGGGCAGCAGTTCCCAAAAGTGCCCAGACCTCTTGGGGCGGGGGGGGGGGGGGGTCCCTGAGACCCTATTAGGGGATCTTTAAAATCACAACTATTTTCATAATAACACGAAGACCTGATTTGCCTTTTTCACTCCCATTCTCTCAAAGCTGTACAATGGAGTTATTTACAGTCTACATGACTCACGATATTCCAACAGATTAAAGCCGAAGCAGGTGTAAGAATCCAGCTGTTTTCTACTAAGCTAGATACTAAAGAGATTTGCAAAAATGTAAAACAATGCTACTCTTCCCACTAAGTTTTGTTTTAGAAAGTATATTCTTCACAAAATTATGTTATCTATATTAACATTTAATGGGAAACTCTTCTCACAAACAATAAATTATCTGATCCAAAATGTCAACTATGCCAAGGATGAGAAGCATTGATATAACCAAATAAACAAAGTTCCTTTTAAGAATTTAAATGGGTCTTGAGAACACAGAATTTGAGATTCCTGACCTAAATAAATGAAAGGATAATATGACATTCATGGATTGGAAGACAATACCATAAAGATGTCAACTCTATCTCAAATTAATGAATAAATTCAATTTTTGTAAAACCGACAATGTGACTATAAACATTTACATGGAAGTGCAAAGAATCAAGAAGAACAAGGCAGAAAGATTTGCTTTATTGAATATGAAGACTTGCTATAATGCCATATAAATTAAAACAGCATGGTTTTGGTGTAAGGGTAGATAAAGTAAACCAATGGGAAAAAAAAAAAAAAACAGAGCCCAAAAGCAGACCCATGTATATATGTGGTTACTTGATTTATGCAAAGGTGATCCTGTTGAGCAGTGGGGAGACAATCTTTTCAAAAAATGGTGCTTCATACAACACATATCCCTAAGGAAAAAAAAAAAGTGACCTCTACACTTTTTTTTTTTTTAAAGATTTTATTTATTTATTTGAGACAAAGAGAATGAGAGAGAGAGAGAGAGCACATGAGAGGGGGGAGGGTCAGAGGCACAAGCAGGCTCCCTGCCAAGCAGGGAGCCCAATGCGGGACTCGATCTAGGGACTCCAGGATCATGACCTGAGCCAAAGGCAGTCGCTTAACCAACTGAGCCACCCAGGCGCCCGTGACCTCTACACTTTACATTAATACAGCTGACCCCTGAACAACATGGGTTTGAACTACTCAGGTCCACTTATATATGGATTTTTTTCAGTAAAACAGTACAGTACCAAAAATGTATTTTTCTTATGATCTTAACATTTTTTCTCTAGCTTACTTTATTGTAAGAATAAATAGTATGTAATACATATAACATACAAAACATGTGTTACTTGACTGTTTATCAGTAAAGCTTCCAATCAACAGTAGGCTATTAGTAGCTAAGTTTTTTGGGAGTCAAAAGTTATATACTGATTTTCGACTATGCAGGGGTCAGTGCCTGTTACTAACCCCTACGTTGTTCAAGGGTCAAGTGTATACACAATCAGTTCTAGGTAGAAAGTAAATCTGAATGAATAAACAATATGCAAAATAATATACAATTATCACTTCTAGGCAGAAAGTAGAAAGCAGAATAATAAAGTCTCTAGGACAGTGTCTTAAAACCTCAGCACGAGTGACACTTTGGGTTAGGTTAACTGTTTTGTGCATTATAGGATGTTCAGCATTCTGTGCACTGTAGGATGTTTAGTAAGTATCCCTAGCCAACCCACCTGATGCCAGGAGTGCTCCACTCACCTAGTTGTGAGAACTAAAAATGTCTCTGAACATTACCAAATTTTCTGCACAGGGGTGGAAGGTGTGGGAGTGAGGGAAGGGAGAACTGCCTCTAGTTAAGAACTATTGTTCTAACCCAGTCATTAAGCGTCTGCCCTCAGGTCAAGGCATGATCTCAGGGTCCTGGGATCGAGCCCCACATCGGGCTCCCTGCTCCGCGGGAAGCCTGCTTCTCCCTCTTCCCCTCCCCCTGCTTGTGTTCCCTCTCTCGCTGTGTCTCTTTCTGTCAAATAAATAAAGAATCTTAAAAAAAAAAAAGAACCATTGTTCTAGAAGATAACACAGGTGATATATTCATCTCCTTGGAGCAGGGAAAGACTTCTAAACAGGACACAAGAATCACTGACTATAAAGGAAAATAATGATAAGCTGAACTACATTAAAATTATGACCTTCCTTTCATCAAAAATAGTAAAGGAGTGTAAAAATCAAGCCAAAGTGGGATATATTTTTCTAACAAATATAACTTAACAAAGGTCTTGTATCTAGCACATATAAAAACTCCTAAAAACAAAAAGACATAAACACCAATAGGAAAAATGGGGCTCATATCCATGAAGTATGTAACTCCTATAAATTAGGAATATAGAAAATTAAATAATAATAATAAAAGGTGAGGGGAAAGAAGAAACTTCGCAAAACAGGATATACAAACAGCCAAAATATTTATGAAAAAGTACAATCTTATTTGGAATCAGGGAAATACATCTTCTAGAAGGGCTAAAATTAAAGAGGCTATTAATACCAAGTGCTGGTGAAAATACAGAGTAACATGAACCCTCATATTCTAATGACAGCATAGGTACAACCATATTGAAAACAATTCTTGCATCATCTTCTAAATTTGAACACATATACACCAATGACTCAGCTATTTTACTCCTGGTATATACTCAACATAAATATTGTACATGTGCCCTGAGAAACACGTACAAGAATGTTATGACTGTATTATTCAATCCAAATGTCCAAAAGTAAAAAGAAAGTGATAAAATACTACAAGTGAGCTACGACTACATCTGAAAACATCCATGAACCTCCCAAACATAATGTTAAATGAAATAAGCAGAGACAAAATGCCACTACCATGTAATTCTATTTATATAAAAGTACAAAAAGCAGGTCTTAAAAAACATATTCTTTGAAGTCAGGCCAGTGGTTGTTCCAAGAAGTAAGAAAGAGAGAATGATTGGGAAAGGAAACATAGGGGGTTTCTGGGTTGCTGATAGTATTCTATTTCATGATCTGTGGTGGTCATGGGGTGTTTACTTTGTGGTGATTCACTGAGCTGTATACTTACACTTTGTGCACTTTCCTGTGTGTATTACACTTGAATTTTAAAGACATGGATCACGATCTTTTATATGTTGTATATGCAACCTAGAATACAATAATTACAAATGCTTTAGCTATTATGATATTAGATATCAACTATTTAGGAGTAAAAGTCATGTCCGGGGCATAATAATTTTCTACATCTTACATTTCTGGATCCTTTCTCTATTTAAATAAAACAAATAGAATATCTTAAAAAGGAATGCCTGAGTTTTCAGTATGCTGCAGAAAAACATAACACATTTATATATTCTATTTTCCTATATGTTTAATTTGCCTTGATCACCTAAAGAGAAAAATCCAATTTCTTAGCTTTATATAAAATACACATCTTGGAAAATTGTAACAAAGAAAAGTTGAAGATGTTTGTTTCTAATATTAAAAATATTTTTTCTGACACTTAGAGACAAAGAAGATGAAGGCATAATATAAATGATGCCTGAACTAAAAAGATATTTCTATCAAAAATTGGAATGTTTCCCTCCCTACCAAACTAAGCCTTGGTTTATATTTTTATATTCCATATGGCATTTAACTACAACGCAAGTTTATAACACCAATTATTATTTTGTTTACAAAAGAATCAAATATTTATATTAAGTTGCTTAATATCAAATTGATCCCCTCTGCATTTAATCATTTATGTAGAATAGCAGTTAACAGCAGACAATCTGATTCATTTTTAAGCCAAGTAGTGCCACCAAGTGGTGGCATATTTTCTTCTTAACATACCACTCTGAAGCAACAGAAAGTTACACTGAAATATAGTATCGGAATGGAATTAAAAAAAAAAATCAATCTGATAATAAATTTTAAGTAGGTAAGTTTCTGAAATATTTGGTACAAAAGTTTAAAAACAAAACAGAAAAAGGTCAATATTTTTGGAAAACATTTGTATTGCCCTGAAGAACCTATAGTTTCAAAGTTAAATTTTCCTTAGAAAGCAAACAACTATGAATACAATGCTGCAGTGTTTAATTTTTGTTGTCTTTTAATTCCAAATTTTCTTGAAAGACTTAAATTGCTTTAGAAATTAGTAAAACACACACAGTAAGAGATCTGAAGGGGTTTTTTAATTTTTATTAATTTTTTTTGTGGGGGGAGGCAGAGGGAGAGAGAATTCCAAGCACTCTCCACTGAGCACAGACCCTGACCTGGGGCTCAGTCCCACGACCCCAAGACCATGACCTGAGCTGAAACCAAGACTCAAAGGCTTACCCTACTGAGCCACCCAGGCACCCCTCAACCTGAAGGTTTTATAACAGTATTACCCTCATTAAGTATAGGGAGACAGAAGAGTTGTTAGGAATCTGTTCCGGGCCTCTCCTTGGCTTACTGATCATCTTCCTATGTCTCTTCAAACTGTCTTCCCTCCATGTGCATGTCTCTGTATCCAAATATCCCTTTTTTCATAAGGACATCAGTTAGTTATAAGTGGATTTGCCCCATCCTCCCTAATGACCTACCTTTAACTTGATTACCTCTGTAAATACCCTATCTCCAAATAAGGTTTACTCTAAGATACTCTGAGGTACTTACTTCAGGTCCTACTCTGAGGCAGTGGGGGTGAATTCAGGGTTGGGGGAGGTGGTACAACAATTCAGCAGTAACACTAATCATTTGTATTTTTGATGACTGTATTTTCTTATCTAAAAAGACAAAATACGGGGGGCACCTGGGTGGCTCAGTCATTAAGCGTCTGCCTTTGGCTCAGGTCATGATCCCAGGGTCCTGGGATCGAGCCCCGCATCGGGCTCCCTGCTCAGCCAGGAGCCTGCTTCTCCCTCTCCCACTCCCCCTGCTTGTGTTCCCTCTCTAGCTGTCTCTCTCTCTCTCTGTCAAATAAATAAAAAAATAAAATCTTTAAAAAAAAAAAAAAAGACAAAATACGGGGCACCTCAGGGGGTGCCCGGGTGGCTCCATTAGTTAAGCATCTGCCTTCAGCTCAGGTCATGATTCCAGGGTCCTGGGATTGAGCCCCACATCATCGGGCTCTCTGCTCAGTGGGGAGCTTGCTTCTCCCTCTCCCTCTGCCTGCCACTCCCCCTGCTTGTGTGTGCGCTCTCCCTCTCTATCAAATAAATAAAATCTTAAAAAAAAAAAATATGGAGTGCCTGAGTGGCTCAGTCATTGGGCATCCACCTTTAGCTCAGGTCATGATCTCAAGGTCCTGGGATTGAACCCCGCATCGGGTTCCCTGCCCTGTGGGGTGTCTGCCTTTCCCTCTATCCCTCCCCCCACTTGTGCTCTCTCCCTCTCACTCTCTCAAATAAATAAAGTCTTTTAAAAAATAAAAAGACAAAACAGCTCTTGGAAATTATTAAATAAGGGGCACCTGGGTTGCACAGTCAGTTGAACATCCAACTCTTGGGTTTCAGCTTAGGTGGTGATCTCAGGGTCGTGGGCTCAAGCCCCACATCAGGCTCCAAGCTCAGCATGGAGTCCACTTGAGACTCTCTCTCCCTCTCCCTCTGCCCCTACCACCCCTCACGGCTTCTTTCTTTTTCTCTCTCTCTAAAATAAATAAATATTTAAAAAAATTATTAAATGATGAATACTTGTGATATTGTGATTTATAAGAAATATATTTGGGCTTCCTCCCTGTTTCTGGCACAGCACCCATAAACCCTTAGGAATTTCCTAAGAGTAGAGTTATAAAGATGTCTTTTGTTATATTAGTGAGGTGACTTTTGGAAATCCCCTAAAGTTGGGGACTGCTAGCCAGAGGGTGCCATGCTAACTATGTGTCCCACCCATCTGACCTCTGGAGGGGAGATGGGCTAGAGGCTGGGTCAACTGACACCGGCTAATGATTTAATCAATCCTGCAAATATAATGAAGCTGCCATAAAACCCCAAAAGGATGGGGTTTGGAGAGTTTCCGGATTGGTAAACATAGGGATATGCTCAGAGAGTGGTGCGCCTAGAGAAGACAATGGAAGCTCCACACTTCTTCCCACATGTCTTGCCCTATGACTCTCTTCTGTCTGTCTGTTCCTGAGTTATATCCTTTTATAATAAACTGGAAATCTAGAAAGTATACTGGTTTCCTGAGTTCTGTGAGTTGCTCTAGCAAATTAATCAAACCCAAGGAGGGAGTCATGGGAACCTCTGATTTATGGCCAGTGGGTCTGAAGTACAGGTATCAAGGTAACAACCTGGACTTACAACTGGCATCATAAGTCTAAGGACAGGGCTATGGGAACCTCTAATTGGTAGCCAATTGGTCAGAAGCACAGATGACAACCTGAGCTTACAATTAGCATCTGAAGTCAAGCATAGGAGGAGTCTTGAAGGACTGTAACATTAACCTGTGAAACAGTATCAGAACTTAGCTGAATTGTAGGACAAGAAGTTGGTATGTGGAGAACTGCTTGGTGGTCTGCGGAAACTATCCCTCCACACACTGGAATTGGTCTAGAACCTAAGATACTATTTTACTTTCATGAACTATATTATCAGCAAAATAAATGACTAAATTTTAGTATAAAGTTATATATATAAAATATCAAAGTAGTAAGTGCCATATAGTTCATGGCCAACCCAATTATAATGCACTCAGTCCTAGACTTCATCTCCTAACATTTATCACTATAACCCAGCCATGCTGGCCTCTTTGCTGTTCCTTGACCAGGCCCCACGTACTTTGCATTTAATGTTCTCTGCTTGGAGTTCTTCCTCCAAGTATATGCAGAGATCAGTTCCTTCAGTTCCAATGATGTTAGTTCTTAGACCATCCTAAATAAAACAGCACCCTTAGTCACTCTTTATTCCCCTATTTGGTTTTATTTTTCTTCACAGTACTTATTGATAACCGACGGACAAAGCAGGCTATGATTTATCTATTTTCTCTCCCCCACTACAAAGTAAGCTTGAGGGCAAAGACTAATGTTTTGTTCACTGATGTACCCCTGACATCTAAAAGAGTACCTACTATGACTACCATATGTGTATAGTGTCACAAGCAGAATGAATTTTTAAAAATTCATGCATCTGCTTTCTAACTTGATCTATTGGTTCCTTTCTAATCAGTTCTTCACATCTAGAGGCAGAGTGACCTTTTCAAGCTCACCACTCCTCTATGGAACGCAACATTTTTCTCTCTCACAGGACATAGTCCCAGATCTTTAGCACAGCTGGAAAGGCTTTGCTGGGTCCTGCCTACCTTTCCATCTGGTCTCACAGTTCTCAGGGATTCAACCACTCTGGCCCTCTCTCAAATTCCCCAGTGTGTCCCTTCTCATCACAGGGCCTCTGCACATGTAGTTCCTCTGATCTGGAATCCTCAGCTCTCCTCTCCCCAGCCCTCCATCACATTAATTTAGTTAACCTTAACTCCTAAGCTTCCTTCAGATCACAGTTCTAAATGTCACTTACTCTGGGAAGCCTTCCTCAAACACCCCATGTCAAGTTCCTTTGTCATAGGCTTTTGAAGAACTGTTCCTTTCAGAGCTCTAATGTCTTTAAAATATTTAATTTATATCACTTTTGATTAACGTATTTCTCCCAATGAACCCAAGTTCCAACAGAATAGGAACGTTTTTGTTGTATACACTGTGTTTTGAGCAACTAGAAGGTGCTTGGATACCTAAATGAAGGGACACGGACAAAGCAGGCTCACTATAAGTGAATAATAAAGCCTGCAATCAGTCAATTATGGGAATCAACAAAGCAAACTTTCTTTTTTATTAACTTTAATTGTTTTATCCAGACACGTTGCCTGTTTCTGGGTAACTGCCTCTCCCCAGCCATGTGTGTGCACAAAAGAGAAAACTTATTTAATATTTCTACTAATTGGAATATAAGAGTAACATAAATCTTTACAACATTTGTCATTGTATCATTAGCTTTCAGGTTGCTTTAAATAGCAATAGAACAAACTTTTACTGTTTCTTTATGACAATATCATAAAAAATAAAATGGGTCATAATGAATTTTTAAAATAAATTCATACCATAAATGATATAAAGTAAGACTATAATACCCTCCCAGATCTTTGACATTTTTTTCTAAATACTTTAAAATACCTTCAGATGGCAAAAGTAC